TCAAACTGAGCCGCAGCTGAGTCCTGACTTCTCGCACACACCATTGCAGGATCCCATTCTTGCCAAACCTTGCGTAGGCCACCCATGTGGATGGCGCCAACGCCCCCCTTATGAGTCCGCCAAGCAAGAGGTCCCAAGCTGCCACACTTCAGCCAGACAAGGCACTTCCTCTTTCTGAGCCCCCGGAGCTGCTGACCGAAACTGTTCCCACTGAAAACGAGAGAGAGAAACAGCCACCAGGTTTAACAACCCAGGCACGTGACGTGCCCTAAATACAACATTAGATTGCATGCAAGAGAGAACAAAGAGGCAAAGGAGCCGAATAACAGGGATAGAAAAAGCAGATAATCCATTAACAGCCTCAACCACTGACATGTTGTCGATAAAGAAGAACTTTCTTGTCCCTCAGCTGTCGCCCCCACAATGCCAGCACCACTACTAAAGGAAAGAATTCCAGAAAGGCCAAGTTGCGAATGAGCGGGCTGGCCTTCCACTCATCTGGCCATGGTTCGCACACATCCACATCCAGATCAGCTTTCATTGATGCCAACAACTGAATTAAGTGATGCGGTGATGCTACCACGCTGTTTGCCCTGGAGAGTAACCTGTTGAACTCCCTCCCTACCGGGATTACCCGGCACACAACATTGAGCTGGTCCACCAATGACTGAAGCGCCTGCAAAGTAATCTTCTTATCTGTCTGCCACCGCCTGCCGCAGTGCTCTCAAATTGTCCTCCGGCAACCGTCATTCCCCCAGACCAAATCTGTCTCCAAGCCCAGGAAGGGCAAGCAAGTAGTCAGCCCCACCGTTTTGTCACACGCCAGCGGTATTCCGAAGACATTCACGACTCATTCCAAAGTTCTCAACCCTATGCGGCACACCTCAGATTCCGCCAGTCAGACACAAAGGAAATGAACTAGGTAATGGACTATGAATCTAGTGCCCGCCTCGTATTTGACCACCCACTCCAGAAAGGTACTGAACTTTTCAAAGTACGCACACTATATGGAACAACCCAGTGGCAAACACATATCGACTAAATACTGCCCCTCGAGAAAACAGTGCATAAATGATGACAGTCGGGGTGGATGGGCAATAATCGAAAAGCCGCTTCCACGTCCACCTTGGCCATCAATGCCCCCTTGTCTGCACATCGAACCGACCGCTTGGTTGAATGATGCATACAACACCGAGTGGATCCGTTTAATGATTAATAAGCTGGTACTTACCGGGCTTCTTTTTTGGCACGACCCCCAACGGTGAAATCCGCAAATCGCTCAACAGGAGCTCCATAAGCGGCCCCGCCATCCTCCCTAACTTCTCCTCCCTAACACCTCCCTAAATAGCTTCTCCCGCACCACATCTGGAAAGTCCCCCCCTGACTTCAGATTCCGCAGATTACTAACCCCCTCCCAATGCTGAAACGGAATCACAATCCCCCTTGTGAACCTGTACCTTAACAACACATCATCCTCCTTGTTACTATAACTGTTTTGCCACGGCAACATCACGCCGACCTTCACCTGCGATTGTCCCAGCTGCAGCGAGTGCCCCCAAACCACCCGTCATTCCTTCCATGGAGGAGGACTTACCCTTCTTGAAGTAGCTTTTATAACCATGCGCACCTCCACACCAGGAGCACTTGTGTTTCAATTGGCATGCCGCGCCCCACTTACACTGCCCGTATACTTCCTTTTTTGTGGATGGCTGACGAGGTGGCGGAAGATCCCACGCCGGCCCCGAGCTTAAAGGGGGACGCCCTCTGTGCCATCACGAGCTACATCCACAGCAGCAGATCCATCAGTAATCGAAAGCATCTGACTAAACTGTTCGTCGTACCGCCACCACACCAAGCCTCCGTAAGTGGGGTACGCCTCCCAAATCCCATCCAAGTAGCAGAACAATTGCGAGCATTGATCAGGGGATTTCTCCCCCACAACACTTGCCAGAATGCAGAAAGCCCTCAGCCAATTCCCAAAAGTTTTGTGTATTTTCCGATAATGGTGCCTTTTCTCTTCTTCCTCCTTCTTGTCATCTTTCTTATCCTCTTCTTCATGTCCAAGTATTCGTCCAGAGGAAAAAGAGAAAAGATGTCCAGCAATTCCCCCTTCCATATCCTCTCCTTCACCTCCAGTTTAAGGTGACACCCCAACGGTACTGCAAAGGAGACGTGAACATTCTGTCTAGCTGCGTCCGCGATGCCCCTGACCAGTTTTGCCCTCTCCGTCTCTAAATCACCTGCGCCGGAACCCCCGTATCCATAGCAGAACTGCTACTGGCCTCCGGAACTGCCACTGCCACCACCCCTGTACTCTCCTGCCCAGGTGCCCAAACCTGCCCAAAGCTAATGCTGCCCAATCCCCCGCTCCATGAGTCCAGAAAAGACTTGAGATCCTCTAAAAGGTCCCCAGTTTAACAGCAGACAACTCACCGCCGGAACCTCTTGCAGCTGAAGGCCGTGAGGCCATATCCTGCCTGACGTCGTCCAAGCCTTGTCTTGATGGTGCCTCCAGCAATAGATCCACATCCCGAGGTCTCACCTGGACTGTGGGCGACCGTCTTGGTGACCTAGAACGAGAAAAGACTCTGGGTAGGCCGTCCGACTGAGTCCTGGCCGTCCAACTCTCTCACTGGGACCTGGGAAAAAACTGGGAAGGCGCGTGGCCTCCTTTCCCCTCTGGTCATGCCCGCTCCCCACCAGCTGTTCCTCATAGTCACCCCGAGAACTCCCACTAGATGAGGCCGATCTGCTGTGCCTGCAAGCAGTAGTCCTAATGGGGGATCCCAAATTACGCTCCCACGTTGCGGCAGTCAGGATCTTCGAGTGGGATGACCAGGAAGCACCCCATCTGTTCCTGTGGACCCAGAAGCAGTAGGCCCAAATGGGGCCAGATCCTCTCACAGACGCTCCTGGAGCCATGAAACACCTCTCTGCTGTATAGCAGCCCGGATACCAGCCAGTCATTCCTCCATTCTTCAACAGCAGCATCTGGAAGATACAATACAGAGACACCACACAGCCTGCACAAAACAGGTAATTGAGGATTAATTAAAGATGGCCACTGATCTAAAATGGCCACTATATATACTCCTCTAACCCAAACCCCACCTCCAGTTATTCTAGGCAGCTCCCTTATACCCTTATATTAAACCCCCCCAGCCCCCCTGTGCCTGTCTCCCAGCAATGTCAGGGCCCATTCCCCTTAGCTGCGCTGCTCCATGGGCCAATCCAAATTAGAGAAAAGGTTTAGGAATTACAGCTCTTTAATAGGTGCCCCTTTTTCAATGGACCAAAAGTAAATGCACAATTAATTTAAAAACTGCTTCATGGACAGGTGTGCAGGGTCGGACTGGCCCACCGGGAAAAATAGGTGGCACACTGAGAGGGGGCCGGCCGCGTTCCAGACTGGAGCCGCCGGGCCGGGTGGCAGCTTCGCCGGTCCGGCGGCACTCCAGTCACTGTTGTTGCTGATGGCTGAAGGAGGAGGAGCCTGTCTACCATGCTCCCTCGCGGTTCCTGTGCTGGGAATTGTAGGAACCGCGAGGGAGCATGGTAGACAGGCTCCTCCTCCTTCAGCAACCATTAACACCAGTGACTGGAGTGCCGCCGGACCGGCGAAGCTGCCACCCGGACCGGCGGCTCCAGTCTGGAAAGCGGCCAGCCCCCCTGCCTTCTCTAAGGTAAATTGGGGGGGGCAGAATAGTGAGAAATAGAAGGGAGGAAGACACAGGAAAAGAGGAGAGAGAGAGAACACAGAAGGAGGGGAGAAGAGAGGAAGGCAAGGGAAAGAGGGAGAGGAAGACACAGGGATAAGTGGGAAGGGAGAGGAAGAGACACAGGAAAAGAGGAGGGAGGGAGGAGGAGCACGAGAGAGGAGGAGGAGAAGAGGAAGACACAAAGAGGAAAAGAAATTAGAGGGGAGAAGAGGAGGACACAGAGAGGAGGAGGGAGAGGAAGAGGAGAGGAGGGCAAAGAAGAGGTAGGAGGAGAGGGAGGACACAAGGGAAAGAAGGAGGAGGGAGAACACAGGAAAGGGTAGGGAGGGAGATGGGAGACACAGGAAAGAGGGTAGGGAGGAGAGGAGAGAACCTGAGGAAAGAGGCGAGGAGGGAGAGATGGGAGGAAGAGGACACAGGGAAAGGGGAGAGGGAGGAGAGGGAGACACAGGAAAAGGGTAGGGAGGAGATGGGAAAGAGACACAGGAAAAGGGTAGGGAGGAGGAAGAAGAAGGCAGGAAGGAGGAGAGGAAGACACAGGAAAGAGGAGGAGAGAGAGGAGAACACACATAGAAGGAGGAGAGAGAGGAAGGCTACAGGGAAGAGTGGGAGAGGGAGTGACATAGGAAGAGGGTAAGGGAGGGAGAGAGGAGACACAGGAAAGGGGTGGGAGGGAGAGAGAGGGAGGACACAGGGAAGGGTAGGGACAGGAAGAGTAGGGAGGAGAGGGAGGAACACAAGGAAAAGAGGAGGGAGAGATGGGGAGAGACACAGGGAAAGGGGGTAGGGAGGGAAGGAAGGAAGGGAGCACAGGAAAGAGAGGAGGAGGGAGATGGGAGAGACACACATGGGAAAGGGGGTAGGGAGGGAGAAGTGAGACACAGGGAAAGGGGGGATGGAGAGACACAGGGAAAGGGGGTAGGGAGGGAGAGGGGAGAGACACAGGGAAAGGGGGTAGGGAGGGAGAGACAGGGAAAGGAGGGAGGGAGATGGGAGAGACACAGGGAAAGGGAGAGAGATGAGGAGGAGGGAGAGACACAGGAAAAGGGGGGAGGGAGAGAGATGGGGAGAGGGGAGAGACAGGGAAAGGGGGAGGGAGAGAGATGGGGAGAGACACAGAGAAGGGGTGAGGGAGAGAGATGGGGAGAGGGGAGAGACACTGGGAAAGGGGGGAGGGAGAGAGATGGGGAGAGGGGAGAGACAGGGAAAGGGGGGAGGGAGAGAGATACACCATACACATTCACACACTGCCCCCACACACCATACACATTCACACACTGCCCACACACACCATACACATTCACACACTGCCCCCCACACCCACACACTGAACCTTTCACACACATTGCACCCCTCACACATTGCACCACTGCTCCTATACCCTACTACAGCCCCATATCACAGCAGACTCCAGGTTAGTTGTCAAACTGTTCTTAAACGGTTTGACTACTTACTCTGGGAGGGGGTGCCGACACTCCTGGCACCATAACCACTACACAGAGGAGTAGTGGTTATTGTGCATGGAATATTTCTTTAAATAATCTACAAGTGCCCCTCCCGGGCTCAGGCTCTGGATCCGTCACTGGTATATGACATGTATATTAATGTGTATATTTGTTATATATATATATCTATTGTTTTATTTATATATATACATATATATATATATATATATATATATATTATATTTACACATATTAATGTACATTTATATATGCATAATACACAGAGCAATTTCATTAATATGTACCATATGTAATGAGCAGATATTGGCCCAATCTTGTTGCTAGGTGCATACTCCAGCACAATAACATATTTAAAGTGAAGAGCACGCCCACAGGACTTCAAAATAAAAATTTTTTACAGTTGTGCCCTACATACATTCTGAGGGGATGGCATGCCCCTTATAAAGCAAAATTACATCATATGCATTGTCAGAGATAACATAAAATAATACATCATTAATTGGTTAGGTGTTAAGTGGTCCTTCTAATGCTCTGCCTACAAGGGTTGATCTCACTGGGACCATGAGGGTCTCCCCCAGATTCCAGCGCCATCTTGTTACATGAGGTAGTTAGTCGATGTTAGAGGGGTAGCTCCCCAGCGGCCATTTTAAGTAAATCACACATAAAAATGATAAATGCTGATCGAGAACTATATAAAGTAAATAGACATTTTACTAGCTAAAAATTACGTTAATATCTTATTTCTACAACATATATAAAACATTAACAGGTGTACTCAGTGCTTTACAGGTTATATTACAGTAGAGGGAGGTATAGTAAGTGTAGTGTGCATACAGTGTATGTATATTTTATTTATATAGTACTTATATAGTGCAGTAGGCATACAGTGTGTATATTTTATTTATATAACGCTAACAGGTGTACTCAGTGCTTTACAGGTTATATTACAGTAGAGGGAGGTATAGTAAATGCAGTGTGCATACAGTGTATGTATATTTTATTTATATAGTACTTTACAGGTTACATTACAGTAGAGGGAGGTACAGTAAGTGCAGTAGGTATACAGTGTATGTATATTTTATTTATATAGCACTTTACAGGTTATATTACAGTAGAGGGAGGTACAGTAAGTGCACTAGGTATACAGTGTATGTATATTTTATTCATAGCGCTAACAGGTGTACTCAGCACTTTACCGGTTACATACTCATTTTCCTGGCACTATAGTGCCCTGAGGGTGCCCCCACCCTCAGGGTCCCCCTCCCGCCGGGCTCTAGGGAGAGGGAAGGGGTTAAACTTACCTTTTTTCCAGCGCCGGGCGGGGAGTTTAAACTTACCTTTTTTCCAGCGCCGGGCGGGGAGTTCTCTGAAACTGCTATGTTTATAAAAAAAAAGGTTAATCCTAGAGGGACCTGGCACCCAGACCACTTCATTAAGCTGAAGTGGTCTGGGTGCCTAGAGTGGTCCTTTAATCACTATAAAACAATGTGAAAGAGGTAAACAGATACTGGAAGGGAACCTCACACTGTGTCTATGTGTCATTTATACTACATTGCAGAATATGTTGTTACATCACATAGAACACAAACTGCATAGTAAATATGACTCTGGCAATGTTGTTATTAGACAGTGCATTGTGACTATTGAACAGTCAGAATGTTGGAAAGAATCCAGTAATGACTCTCCAGGGTTTTAGCTACCATGTTATGGAATGCTATGAAACAGTAAATAAACTTACTGGGGCCTATTAGACATCTGCGATAAAACATGATCTATACCCATAGGTATACCAATAAGCTGCTGTATATAAGCAATTATAGATTTAAAAAAACAGCCACACAAGGCGTGGTGATTTAATAAAGAATAAAATGTAGTCCTAAATGGGAGCTAAAGTCACCCCGACCACTTCATCTCAGTAAGTGTCCTAGGTGCAGTGGTCCTGTCCTTTCAGTTGTTTTTTTTTTTTAGAAACTGCAATGTTTATATTACTTTTTAAATCCACCTCTAATGGTGATCTTCCTGAAAGCCACCAGTGGAACTTCACGTCTCGTGATCCGAGAATACAACACTTTCCTAGGGGGAAACTTGTTTGCGCGCACGCATCAGCTCTCCAGTGGTCCTCTATAAAGGGCCTGAGATTAGGCCCTGGGGAGATAGCGCAGCTAAGCGGACAAGGGCACATGTAGGAGTGTGGGGATAGATGCGGTGGAGTGGTTAAGAGAGTATGTGTAGGTGGAATTAAGTTTAATGTAGTTAGTGGGGGGAGTGGCCTTACCTCAGTGCCACTTAGGAACCAGGCCAGCAGACAGCTTCCCACCCACCCACCCCTTTTTTGGCAGTTAGTCACAGCTAGCCGAGGGTATGTCCTTGCCAATTAAGTTTTTATGGTTGGAGTGAGTTAATAAGTTGGCAAGTCTCAACCGCCCCTGCTTTAAACGGTTAACTTTAGGTTGCCCGAGGTATCGTGCCCATTGAGCGTGGATAAGGTCGGCTGATGGCGGGCATTTGAATGGTATGATTTATGACGAGGTGGGTGGTGAGAGGATGTAGTGATTAGGAACCACGGTATGTTTATTGGCAAGGACGGTTGGGTTACTGTATAACACTGTGTGTTGTTATATATGTATATATGTTAATTTATGTTTATTTATGTTTAAAGGGATACTATAGTCACCTGAACAACTTTAGCATAATGAAGCAGTTTTTGTGTATAGATCATGCCCCTGCAGCCTCACTGCTCAATTCTCTGCCATTTAGACGTTAAATCCCTTTGTTTATGAACCCTAGTCACACCTCCCTGCATGTGACTTGCACAGCCTTCCATAAACACTTCCTGTAAAGAGAGCCCTATTTAGGCTTTCTTTATTGCAAGTTCTGTTTAATTAAGATTGTCTTATCCCCTGATATGTTAATAGCTTGCTAGACCCTGCAAGAGCTTCCTGTATGTGATTAAAGTTCAATTTAGAGATTGAGATACAATTATTTAAGGTAAATTACATCTGTTTGAAAGTGACACCTGTCCTTCTTTCCAGACTTTGTTCCATAGTGTCCTAGTTTTTGGGAAACCATGGAGCTGTCCACAGAAAGCATAGTGTAAGCATCATCATAAGATGCACTTGGGCTATGCTCAGGGCACTACTTAAAGGGATACTATAGGCACCCAGACCTCTTCATCTGATTAAAGTGGTTTGGGGGCACGGCCCATTAATCCTGCAATGTAAAACACTGACCGCAGTTTCAGAGTTAAGAATGCCTCTAGTACTAGAGCTCGCTCTTACCATGAGGACATCCAATGTCTTCAAATACCCCATAGGAAATGCTTTCCTATAAGGAAGGCCTAATGCTCTCACATTGCTTGCTGCGCATGTGCATTAGGTTCCCCATTGGAGCTAATGTCGGAGGAGACGGAGACAGCGCTGTGGGCTTTAGTGCTGAAATAATATGAGTAAAAGATAGGGGGATGGGAGACAAGGAAGCCAGCTTTGCATTGCTAACACCATAGTTCTTCCTGCATGTTACGCGGGCTGCTTGATTGGCAGGCAGCTTGACTTGGCAGTCACGCCATGCTGACCTGCCAGTTCTCTGGGCATACCCGCCCCCCTTTCTTTGAGCGGCACCAGTGGCATGATCCGTGTCATTGTTCTGCCCCATTTTTCCCTGCCCACTGACAGCTGACTTTAAAAGATATTGGGGGTTATGGTTGAGCACAAAAGTGGCGTGACTCCTGGCAGAGAGTTTGCCAGACCTGGAAGTAGACGCTGGGCACACTGAAGACCGAGAGGAACACATAATCATAACTATCCTTCTCTCCCCATGCAAGTGAACATGTCACCGTCCTCGGGGGGTCTTTTGCGAAGACTCACAAAAGTAATGGTGTTACTTTAAGGCAGCCATATCTTCATTTTGCAGTTGGCTGTATTCAGAGCTGACATTACAGATATATATATATAGAGATAGAGAGGGAGAGATATATAGAATGAGAGATAAAACAGACAGGCTCAATTATTTTCTATGTTTTCCGTCACGTAAATTCTTGAGATAAGAATAGGATTAGATGAATTGCATCCATGTTAGGATGGGCGAAAGCGGGTCATATTTTTTGTACCTCTGTAAACTAACTGCAAGTCATCGTGATCAATTCCATTCTCCAGTCACCTGTCACCAGGATTCCTGAGATATCTGGAGCTATCCCTGACACCGAGTCCTAATCCTTCATGCTGGTGGAGGCCAAAACACAGATCTTCTACTGAAGATAGATTTAGTGTCAGGATTATACACCAAAATGTGAATTATCAGGAGTTTAATATTAATTTTACATTTTAGACATATGTAAAATATGCACGTGTAGATAAAATGCTAAAAGCTCCTCACACTTTTTACCTGGTTAGTGAAAATAAGAGATGAAAGCAGGAAGATCTGCAATTGAAAGGCAGGTAGATATTCATTTTTGTAGGGCAATCTTTTTATTTTCTTTGTATAATAGTAACTCGCTGTAGAATATGTTGTTTCTATATAAATGTTAATGATAATAATGCATTCCTCCCTATACGGAATGTCCCGATTTCGGGGGTTCTGTCCTACTGTCCCAGACAGGTTGCCTGATGTCTCACATCTGGGGACACAAGGTAACTGTATCTAGCAAGCACAACTTGAGTGCATCATTATATGCCGGGCTTGTGCTTAGACGAGGGCACTAGGACCATGCAGAGAGCGTTCAGCTCTGTGCGCAATCTGCCCTGTGTAGGGGTGGTCAGAGAGGCTGTCAGTCACTTCACTTCTTTGCGTGATTTTTGCCCCACCCTTGTTTGGAGCTGTCAGCATGGGGTGACCCAATCACACAGAGAATAGTTAGTAAGTTTGTTGTAACAGAAAGAGCAAGATTATGTATACCAAACCTTAGTGGGCCGAGGTTAACATGTGCAAAAATACAGTGGATGATAAATGGTAGAATGGATGAACACATAGAATGACCAATTGATATTAATACAATACACAATACGGTCATATTTTTTTACCTACTGCATTACAAGATTTGGGGGGTTATTTTTGCAAAGAACCCTAGGACAACATATCCTCTTGCATAGTCTCTCATACAGTCAATATGTCTTTTTTGCATGCATTTAATTATGCATTTTTTCATTGAGGGTTTATCTAACAACAGCTTGCAAAAGCTGCAGGTTTCTAGTCTGCATCCTTTGCAAGCCCTCCCTTTCTAGCCCGGCCCAGACTTTCTGTGGCTGTCCAATCACAGAGTTCCCAATGCAGCTCAATGAGAAGTCTTTGCAAGGCAGGTGCTCTGAGCAATTGCTGCCACTTGAGTTTAGCTCCACTGAGCTAACCTAACCAGGAAGTAACAGGACCGGTTGCCCAATTGACAGCCAGAGGGATGAAACAAAGTTAATTTATTAAAGTGACAATTTCTACTGAAATAAATTTTTTGTAACATGAAAAAAGCTCTAGCGTTTTAGATGTTTGGAATGTTCCTTGAACTGGTTTGACTACGAAATCTGGGAGAGCACCAGGGATTTCCTGGCACCATAAGTACTACAGCGTTTTTAACAATTTACCAGGGTCCATCAGGCTCCAGTCCTACTCGAGGAAACTCTGCATTGAGCTAAGCCGGTAGTTTAGGACTTTAACTCACTTAGGGCTCATCTATCA